AAAAAAAAATTCTAAAAATAATAATAAAAAAACTTTCTGGATTCAAAACAACAAACAAACAATCAGATGCGTTTCTTAGGAACAACTTCTGAATGCTTCCCACCAGATGTCTTGGATAACACGACTGTAACAGAGTTCTAGGCAAAAACACTGGCCAAGTGTAACCTAACGCTTGTTGCTAACCATGAAGGTATTTCTTCACGAACACTGAACTTCTGGCTCTTCCTACTCCTGTACGTCTGTATAAAAAGTGCCTTTCATTTTTCAAGTGGGGAAGCATAGCTTTATTTCTAAGTGGAGAAAAGGAGCCATCCCGAAAGACATGCTGGAATCGGGAACTCTGTTCACTCACTCCCAATGCAAGGTCTCTGTCTCACAGATTTATTCCATCTCTCAGTCTGTCTCTGGGGTCCCTCGGTAACCACATGTGGCTGGCTGCTATAGGAAAAGCTTACCACCTCACATGTTCTGTGAGGATGTGAACATTTTCTCTATGCTCTGGGGCAATCTACAGACGGTCAAGTCCAATTGTTTGCCTAGAGAGGGACCAGTGGCCTTGTCTTCATTTCCCAAGCCCGATCTTCCTTCCTTCGTAGCATTTATTTCAAGACAATTCATTTATAACCCTGGCATTCTATTGAAGTTAACTCAGCAAGAAATCAAGTGAGGGTGAACTCTATGGCTCGGCTGACTCATCACTACTTCCTTGCAGAGAAATGCAAATGAAACCCCCCTCGAAGCAAGCAGCAAACTGTTTCCTTTCATCAACAAGCTCTAATGAGTTGCAAAAATTAAGATTCACAGGGAGTCCGCATCCACCTAGAGGCTGGGTTTCCAGGGCCACCTGTACCCAGTCCCTTCACATTTGCTCTGAAGGATCTGCTAAGTACTGGTGGGTGAGCCCCCGTGTTTCTCGGGACAGGCCGAAGGAGAAACTGAACGAGCAGTTCTAGCTCATTTGCTTTTTTCCTAATACATAACGCCTCTGGGAATTTTTTCCTTACTTACCCGCCAAAAATATTTCCGGTTTGCGTTCTTGGGGACTGTATCATTGGTGTAGATTTCACCTATAAGTGGTCCAAAACGTGTTCCTTTGGGTATGTACTCCTTGCTCACCACTCCGGTAACCTGAGGAGGACAACACACGAAACCATTACTTTCCCGGTCAGATGTCAACCAATCCCTTATTTCCATGAATTGGATTATTCAGTGGTAGTACTCTGAGTCGGAATGAACTCGATGACCACAGGTTTTTTTTCATTTTGTTGTTGTTCTTGCTAATACAACCAAAGACCCACAAATTTGTAGGACAGACGAAAGATAATTAGGGAGCCTAACTCATTAACAACCAGTTTCACCCGAAAGGGGGACTCTCTGTTAAACTTTTGGGTCATAAACAATTGCTTGACCAAGCATTAGCATAGTCTTGGACTGTTTTCCTTAAATTCTTTTTTACACTAGAGGAAATAGGTGGATGTGAGTCAGAGATGTGGGGTGGGGATGATCAAGACAAGACCGTTTCAGCGGCTTCCATTTTCTGTATCTCCTACTCCCTCAAAACAAAAATACTGTGTGCTGGAAGGAAATAAAATAACTTTAACCTCAGAAACCAAAATCATGCTCTTTGGTTTTTCCACAGAGGCCTACAGGACCAGAAATCATCCTGCTTATTTTTCATTTCAAATGAGGTCTTGCCCCGCCCCCCACCCCCCACCGTTTGTAAGTTTTCTTTAATAAAGATCTTCCAAGTGACTTTGTTCTTCTCCAGTGTCTTCTACTCAACAGTGGTCTCAGGTCCGCCTTTGACACACTTTATACTGAGGAGCGTCATAGGTTGTAAGAGCTGTGGGCTTTAAGATCTGAGGAAATGACCTTCTCAAACGGTACAGGTCATACGTTTGGCTTTGTAGTGCCTTACTACATTTCAACTATGCCAACTCCTCCTTGATCGCAAAATTTCTTCTTTTTTTGGGGGGGGGGGGATCACCAACCACAAATCAGGAAGCAATTCATCATTATTCAACAGAATAACAACATGGGCAACTCTGCACATACTTTACACGTTAGTTTGCATTTACCTACTCACGTTTCCATTTTTATTTTATTTTTATTCAAACCAGTCTATCCGTGACACACTGGATATCAAAATAAATAAGGATTGGGATGGGGAGAAGACAGCCCTCCCCACCTCAGCTTTTTTATTATTCCCGGTGGTTTCGATATAATTTTCTTCCCAGGATGACAGACCCAATGATGACAAATGCATCAATGTTCACAAATTGCTCATCACAGCACACTATGAAGGTTTTGGTTATGACCTACCCTTCATCAGGAAAAACCGAACCTGTGTGAATGGTGAAGAAATCACCACAGTGCCGGGGCTGAGAGAGACCAGTCTTTCTTGTGTCGGTTTCTTATCAGCCAATGGTTTGGTTTGTTTGTGAGTAACAATTTAATAGTGCGTAAGCCAACAGAGCACACCCAGAACGGAAAGAGAGGAAAAGAAAGGAAACTGCTTACACTTCATACAAGCTGAAACAAGGCTGGTGGGCTAGTGGGTTATTTTTGTGCTTTATGAGTATTTCTGGCAGAAAGCTGGGGGTAGGGACCCAGATGTTCCCTTCATGCCCCTCCTCTGCCTTCATTTCCATCTATCTGCTCCTTCAATAATTGCTGATCGTTATTGGTATTTGCTACAGTACAACTATTGGGAAGACGAGTCTTGCAGAGCCGTCTTGAGGTCTAAGGATGCACTGAGAGGTTGGATCGGCTTCTGTAGTCAATGGGTCTGGATTTCGTTTGGATACGCGTATCGGGGAGTGAGTTTAATTAATTTTGGCAATTCATGGACTCGACTTCTGCGACAAGCAGATCATGTGGCATTCATATATGTGAGTGATTAGTCCATAGGACTGAAATGACAAACAGGAAAAACAAATAAAGCCATTTGTTGGTCAGCCAATAATTAGCCGTGGATATTTTCAACATATCCACTTTAAAGCATTAATTTTAAGAAAGGTGCTCAACTGGTTCATCAACTTTGCTTTAAATTACAGTCTCCTGCAGACAGTCTTGGGAGTCAGAGCTAGACTACCAACAAGTAGCATTATACGGAGGCCAGGGGTTTTCTGCCAAAGTACTTAAAACAAAAACCCAGAAGGGGCCTGTTGGTTTCTAGCTATCAAACAACACTAAGCAAACATGCAACATTTTTCTGTGGCCCAAAAGTAGTCAATTTGAAGCTGGATTCTGCAGAGGAATTTGTGGAGGACAGAGCCACCCTACAAAGCATGAACTATGAGCAAGTCATAGGGGGAGATATAAGATGTACCCAAAATACTTCCTGCCACTTAAAACTTTACAAATACAGTACAGGGGAGCCAGAAGTGAGGGGGGCGGGGGTCTGTGGCAGAAGAAAGGCCTATAAACATTCTAGAATAAAAGAACCCCAATATTCAATTCTTTGGGACCCACCAAAAACCAAGCCCACCACCCCGAGTCAATTCTCATTCATGCCACCGCTACCGGCCAGAGTAGAACTGGCCCCCTTGGGGTATGCTGAGGTTTTAAACCGTCACAGGAGTAGACCGCCTCCTCTTTCTCCCGCAGAACAACTGATGGGTTCAAAAATCACTCTGCTTCCAGTCAGCCGCTCACCATCACCACCAGCGCGCCAGGAGTGGGGCAGAACCCCGACAGTTACATTGCTCTGTGTGGAGCTCCCTGGGATGGTACAAGATCCAAGTGTGCACATCAATTTATAAACACAAAATCATGCCATTTCGAGGTTTCAAGGACCCTTGAGCTTTATGGTTCCACCTATAGCCCTTCTCAGCCCAGCCCTCTTTAATACAGCAGAACAGCCTTCATCTCAAATCCAAGTCTGAGCATCCTTCCCAACGGCCACCCTGACTATGGGCCTTCTCATAGGTTCAATGTGGTGGTGGTGGTGGAGGAGAGATAAGGATCCAGGATTTTTTGGTATTGTTTTTTTTTTTAATGGGGAGGGAGGGACCAGGTGCAAATTCTTCTATTGTCCCCAGGAAGATCCAGATGGGTCTCTATCTTGGGCAACCTCCTCTGCGTGACCCATTGCTTACAATACTGTTATCTAATACTGTTGTTACAAAGAAGCCAAGTGTGTGCCTTGAGTTTCATGGCATTAAAATGAAAGAATGTGTTCACCTAAGTGGGGAGGAAAACTTCACTGGAACTGACCAGGGTCCTAAAGACTTCTTGCTGGGGACAGGCAGCAGTATGCCTTCTAAAACCTGTCAGGGACACTGGGCTTCAACAGGTCCTCCCTGCACCTGCTCCCACAGAAGCCTTGCTGTGCAGAGCCGACCCAGCCACTTGGGCAGATCTGTCTCTGTCAGGGGCCTCTGGTCCAAGAACATCCCGCCCTCTGAGGCGGCTGCCGGAGAAAACACAGGCCTCTGTGGACTCTTTTTCATCTGTACTAAAGGAAGCGGCGTTTCCAGGTCAGCTTGGAGGCGGGGTGGGGTGCTGAATGAAAGTCCCAGGGCAGAGAGGATTTTTTGGTTGTTAGGAAAGCAAACTCTTCCTTTAGGAAGAGTGCAAACAGATAACAAAGAAGCCACAGCAGTGGGTTTTCAGCACAAACATTAACTAGGCCTAGTGTGGTCTGAGCATCCTGACCCCAAATTACATTAAGGCCCTTTTAATTACTAGCTATGTCACCCCCTCCTCTAACCTCGCCCTGTAAAAGTGACTCATTTGATTAAAATTCTATTTTGACTCGAAGGATATTTGCGTCGCAATGACTAGAACTCGGTAGTGCACCAAGGCTGTCAGCCTGTCATTCACCCCATTTTTTTTTCCACAGGGGTGGAGTGAACAGGGATGTTTTTGGAAGGTTTCCTCCTTAATTATCTTTATATTAAAGGAAACGCAGTGATGCAGTGGCACCTCATCTCACAAATAAAAGGCAGTGTGAACAAGATAGAATTGCATGTTACGGTGAGATACGTTTTACTGATGGCTTGAGTTAATAATGGACCTCAATCCAAATGGACACGAAGTGAGTCCCCCGGGATCGCCCTGATGTTTATCACCACATAGGTCACTCAGAGCCACAGCGCCTCTCCTAGCCAAGGGCCCTCAACGGAGAGTGGCTCTTGCTTCTGAGAAGTAAATGTCTAAGTCCATCGTGAAGGCTTATTTCAGGAGGCCAGGGGGTAGGGGCGGGGAAACCCCACAGAAGAATAACCGGCCAGTTTGAAAGGGTTCTGACCAGTATGTCTATCTTTGGTTCTGGTTCTGGAAATAGGAAGTAAGCACAGTCTCATTAAAGGTGCAGAGGGATTCTAAACCAAATCTAGAAATGTTGGGGCGGGGGGAGGTAGGTGGGGGCGCAGGTGTCACAAATCTAGTTTGTATGTTTTGCTTTTAAAAAAAAGGTGCTGACACATAGCGCAGATTCATAGTGAAAAATGATCTTGTTTAAGAAAAAAAATCCCCAGCATGTCAGCAGAACAGTACATAATATAACATCACCTGCTATTTAAGGGAGGGCAAGATAAATCAGTCAAATAAAAACTACACGTAAAAGAGGTTTTTTCCTATTTCCACGGCTCATGACTTAAAGGGCTAACTGAATAATGAGAATGTAAACATTTCATCAGCCCTAGAAGGTTCTGCTCTGGAACTGGTTTGCAGCCACCAGACCCTCACAAGAGTTCAACCAACGCTGCCCTTCTTTCAGCTACTTAAGAGGGAGCTGTCCTTTTGGCAAGTTGAAAGAGGAAGGAGGGAACAACAGGAAAACAGGTACAAATGCCAGCGGAATAAGCTCTTAAGACCATAGAGCATCGAAGCTTGTTTCCTGGTTGCTTTCAGGATTAACCCTAAACCCAACCCACTGCCATCATGATGATTCTGATATACTATCTCCGTCAAATGGTCCAGTGAAAGGACATGTGGGGAAACAGTGGGAGAATCCTGAACCTTTAGGTTCGTCATGGAAGACCACTTCTTTAAGAACAGGGACACTGTATGTTTATTTGTTTACTTATTTAGCTTCACACACTGAAATAAGAGTTACCACTTCAGGGGAAAACTACACAAACTTAACAACGCTTCAGTCTGGACTGGCAAGATGATAAATAAAGCTACAGTGACACCAAGAGGGGCCGGTGCAGCATGAGCAAAAGCCCTGGCTCAGGAAGTCAGAAGACTTTCGACACAAGTCAGTCCCGGTTCTGGCTTGAACCATATGCCTTGAACTAAAGCAACATTCCTTGACTTAGCTAGAATTCTATGGAGAACGACAGACACAGAAAACCTGAACTGAGGACAGGGAATTAGAGCAGAATAAAAGGCAAAGGTGACCCACAGAATGGAGAGCTTTGCTTTGGTCCGAATGGGCTGGCCCAGACAGCACAGCCCAAATGAACTCTGGGAACAGACCCGTATTTGACTGGCTTTTATGTGGAGTGGGGTCAAGGTGGGGGGTGGGGGGGATTCCTTTCACCTTCTAATGCCACGGGCAAACCTTAAATACCCCCCAAAACCTAACTCCACTTTGATGCCATAGGCCACGTATTATGAGACTTTCTACTGGGAAGAGTCTGACCTTCAGTAAGAGGTATAATTATTAAGGTCGACCTCTGGGGATAGATTTTTAGTAACACTAATATACAATTTAAATTCTGCCTTTTATGAAATCTGCCTCCACTCTTCCAGCAGCAGACCCTCATCCCCCCCCCCACACACACACACACACAAAGTTTCAGCTTTAATGAAACACGAAGCAGCGTGGCTCGATTTAATTTCAGACAGCTGTGTCTCCCCTCACCAAATGCACTGCTCTCAGACACAAACAGGAAAGAGACAGTTTTTCCCAAATACCCTTCTCAGCTCCTTGAAATGCTGTTCCTTAGGGAAGTGGGAAGGAGAGGGGGGATGGAGCATGTCTGCAATAAATAGTAGCACCCTCTGGACTCTACCAGCCAAGGGTCCCCTTTCCACTACTTTCTGAAGGCAGTAAACTCTGGTGGTGGTGGGAACGCAGGAAAGGGGTTGAGTGGTTCGACTTGGTGAGGGCAGCTGCAGTAGCTGAAGCCTCAAGAGAAGAGGTGGCTGGTTCTCTGAGGTATTTCACAGCTCAATATCACACCTCACTATAATCGTTCTATAAAGGGGTAAACACAAATCAGGGTCTCAGTCCAAGTTTGGGTTTTCAGCCTCTTTGAAACAACAAAGAGTGTACCCACTTCAGAGGCTAGTTAGGATTCAGTGTGCCAGCCGAGCCAGAGCCCAGGAGCTGCCACAGATAAAAACAGTGGTTAGCTCTGAAGTCATCCTGAGAGAGGACACTTTTACATGACCCTCTTTCTCGGTTTACACCATCACTCCAGTTCATAAACACGTCAAGGTTTGGAGAATAATTTTAGAAACCCAGCTAGTAAAGCTGGCTCGTTAAAAGAATAAAGCCACCTAAGGACCACAGAGAGACAAAGGGAATATAGGCCAAAAAACCCTTTTCAGAGAAAATGTTGGCTCCCTCCAAAGTTACTGGAACCCCGAAGTGTTCAGGCCAGCACTGAGCTGCTTCCTCTGAGCTCACTGGACACCCCCACCCCCCTACAAGTCAGGGTGTCATCAAGCCCCGAGGTTTAACTGTTTACGAATGCAAGACTCTGGAGGCTGGCAGCCCCCGAAGGAACTGGCCTAGGGAAGGAGAAAACCGTGAACTGAACGCTCACTTCTGACTGGTCCTCACGATTCCCAGTTAGACCCTCCTCCGGTGAAAGTTAGGGAGACCAGGGTGGCAGGTGGCAATCTTCTTGGGCCCGAAGGCAGCGGCTTACCTCTTGGTTGGTCGTGGCATACTTGAAGAACAGATTCCTTGGCAAGGATGCCTCGGCCTGAACCAAAGTCCCTCCGTCGGTGCCCGAATCCCAGGGGTGGTCTTTGACAATGTAGGTACACTTCTCTTCAAACTCAACCTCTGTCCACAGAGTCATGTCCGCGTCCTCCATGTTCATTTTCATGGTCCCCTCGGCCAACCCTGGAGTCCTCACTGCGTTGGAGCTACACTTCGGGGCAGCCTGGAAGAGAAGGGAAAGGCCTTTAATCCCCATTGTCCAGCTGTCCGTCCGTCCGCTGTGGCTCCCTGCGAGGCTATGACTAACACGGTCGTCTGCAGGCTTTAAAAGCAGATGCAGTCCTTGGTACAGTTGAGTAAGCGCCAAAAAGCCGTAAAAAAAAAAACACTGCCTTGAAGAGACCAGGTTTTAAATGCTCTTCTTGGTTTAAAAAAGAAAGTAGGGAAAGGGGCAGCCTCCTTGGGGGTGGGGGGTCGGGGGACACCCAAGCACAAAACAAACCTCCGGAGAACCTCTTGCTTTACCTCTCAAGGCAGAAAAACACGGTGTGGGGCACTCAGTCCCACGTCCCGGATCGCCTGGGGTCATGGCCGCCAGACCCTCCGAGCGGGGGGGAAACGCTGCCTCGGAACAGTGTCACAAACAAGGAGAGGAAGAGGAAGGAGCTCCGTCTGCCTCTGAATGAAGCTAAAAATGGAAAGCGCGTGTGGTGGCGGAGCGGAACCCGGCCGGCCTTTTCCAAATGGGGAAGGCTGAACTTTCCCACCAGCTCCCAACGCCAAGCAACTTTCAAAACAACCTGCCCCTGCGCCCCTCCCCCGCCGGGCCCGGGCCGCGGCGCGCTCGCCCTTTCATCCTCCGCGGGGAACTGGCGGGGGCTGCATCCTGCCCGCATCCCGGAGCCGGCCGGCCTTCCCCGCGGCGCTGGGACCCGAGGCGCGCGGAGGGCAGAAGTGGGTGCAGGGGGAACCCGGCCGGCCGCTTCCTCTGACTTGTGGGCATCTCTCGCCAACTTGTAAAAAGCCAACCCCCAACCTCAAAGTGCTCAACAGCATACCCTCGGGAGAATTCCTCTGCGGAGCCCTCGGCTGCAAATAGCCTTTCCCATTGAAGTCTGAAAGTACATGAATTCCCAGAAGAGGCTGATGGGCTACAGTTTACTGTAAAGTTCAAACCAATGCCGAAGACGCGGAGGGCAAGCTGCACTTCCACTTGCGAATTGATCAGATTATTCCCGCAATTCCTCCCTCACCCTCGGGCAGCAGTGCTTTCCACGGGGGGCTGCGGGGGCGGGAAGCGACGTCTCCGCTGCGTCCCCAAACAGAGACATCTTGGGTGAGAAGCCGGAGCTGGGGATCGTTCCCAGGTAGGAACGCGTGCCGGCCAGAATGTAAACACAACAGCGACGTGGAAGTCAGTCCCTCCAGGTGGCCTTGTCTATCCGCCCTCCAACAGGACGATGCTCTTTTACCCAAACAGATCCAGGGTCGGACGCGGTTTTCCTTTCAGCTGAAATGGAGACCACCTGGCTAATTTTTATTTATTCCAGCATGGACACTCGTGATCTTCAATAAACAAATGTTGTTTGTTTGTTTTTTAAAGCAAACTTTTAAGAAATTCTCCCAACCCTGGACTATTTACTTGCTTGGATTGGGAGTGGGCAGGATCTGCGATTTCCATGCGTTTGACAACAGGGATGCCTCGAACCGAAAGGGTTAACGAGGCGCACAGAGTCCCTTAGACGTTGGACAGCACTACGAGCGGGAGCGCAGGCAAGCCGCAGCATTTTGTTTCTACGGCGACCGGCTGAGCGCTTCAAAAAAATAAAATAAAAAAGTTTTCAGATCAATTTCAGAGTAAAAAGAAAATCAAGTTCCTTACCAAGGTCGCACCCACAAGTTTTCCCAAGCACAAATCCAACATCGGAGAAAAGCCTCGCTCATCGCGCCCCAGTCCGCACGGCGAGGCGCGTCCCCCGCCGGGCTGGGCCAGGCTGAGTGCGGCGCCCGGCTCGGCGCGCCCGGCTGCTCCCCCGCCGCGGACTCGGGCGCCGGGCGCACAGGTGCTGCGCGCTGCTCTTGCGTCTCCGCAACACTGGAGGGCCGAGTGTCGCGGCGGCGCGCTCAGCCCCAGTTAACCAGACGGGCGCTCCTCTCCTCTCCCCTCCCTGCCGCCCATTAGCCACTCGCCTTCTGATTCACCAGCTGCCGGGAGTGGGGGCGTGGCCACACCTGAACTCGGCCGAGCCGCGCGGAGCCCGGCCGGGAGTCCCCCCCACCCGCCACCCCACCCCCGAGAGCGCGCCCGCCGCCTCTCCCTGTGAGTGTGCATTTCCACCCCCACCCCACCCACCCCCCCGGAATCTTCCTCCTTCCCTTGGAAGACGCTGGACCTCTACGCTGACGGGGGCTCGACTGGATTCTGAACACACCCGAACCGCCCTCCTTTCTCCCCGCCGGAGTTTCACGAAGGGTCCCAGCAAGTGTTAGAAAAGAAAAGTTAACCTAAAAAAGTGGGTTCATCCCTCAACTCGTATTCCCAGTTACAGACGATACAGCGTCTTACTTGGGGAGGTCCAATGTAAAGACGGACAGGTAAGTCTGCATCTAAGTTAATAAAATGTAGCTGCTTGCGCTCAGTCTATGGCCTGTGAAAGACATGTCTCCCCCGCCCCCCTCTAAGAACATGTAAGATCCTGTTTCTCCTAATTAAATGCACTCGAAATTGGCGAAACTAACTTCCTTCTTTGCAATGCGCAGTGAACAGGGAAATAGGCAAACGCTGCGGATCGAAATTACTTGTGTCTTTCTCCTCCTCTCAAAATCCCCAGCCAGGCTTCAGGCGCGTGTAAATCAGCCCAGGGGGGCGGTAATCGGTTCACAGTTCAAGGAGAATATTGAACGGATCCCCCCAACGTGGAAGCGGACGAGGCCGTATGGATTGGGTTCTGAGCCCGGCCAGCCTCTTCCTCTAGCCCCGCTCAGCCCTGTGTGGAAGGAAGGACATCCTGTAACGATGGCATACAATGTCCTGTTTGTTTGTTATTAGAGCATGGACCTTGCATTCCTGCTTCTCATTACAAAACAAACCAGATGCTTTACTTCCTTCCATGGTCTTGTGCCGTCAGCCAAGGAGCCCTCTAATTCAGAGGGGCAACAAAGCAAAGGGTTCGTGTATAGCTGGCACCCCATTACAATGACCGTGTACATCGTTGAAAACACAAGTGTCCAGCGTTTCCTGCTGGCCTCCCATAGGCAGTTGTTTTGAGAGGCATCTTTCTCTCCACCTTAGGCTGTGATGTCTTTTCTGTCATTTCAAACACACGTGGTACATACACACCCACCCACACGCCCGCCTGCCCGCCCCCACAGACACACACCCAGTCCCAGCCTAATGATACTAACTTAGTCATACAATGAAGTGGACATTTGAGTATTTGTTTACAGGAAGAAGCAGAGCAAAGCCAAACAAGAACCCGACTCACAATCATAAAAACATGTCGGTTTATTTTCCTCATGTGTCCCTTCTTGGTGAAGAAACGTTTCTAGGAAAAAATATTTATGGGGGTAGGGGTGTAAGAAGGCAAAAGATTATTTCCAGGAAATGGTAACTGGGTTTGGTCTCTCTATAATCTCCGTATACAGAACAGTCTATTCCCACTGGGGGACATAAGTCTCACACCACCCTGCTTGCTCCCTGGTCCACCTGTTACGCCAGAGGGGACACTCGTGCCAAATGGAAGCGGGACTTCTGGATGGCACACGGGCCTGTGGGTATGGGCCTGAACACACAATTCTTAAAAGTGTTCTTGAATGGCTCCAAGATGGTAATTAAACAAGAGAAATCCAGCCTTCTAGAGAGGGTTTATTAACGGATGCTGAGTCAGCGCCAACAATGGACACAAAAACAATGTAGTCATACTGAAGCCCGGCCTGCTGTTCAAACAGTCTCACGGACAGATGTTGAAGACGATCTCACTTCCCTTTCAGAATCAAAATCTGTTCTTAGGCCACATCCACTATGCAACTGCTGGTGAGTCCATCACAATGGGGGTAAGGGAATAGGCCAAAAAAAAAAAAAGGCATTGCTATTTGAGGTGGGAAGAGGGCTATTTTAAGCCACATATTTACCTTAGTGACTGGAAGATGCCAGCGAAAAGACTCACTGCTAATTAATAGCAGCCTGCACTCACCTTCAGGGGCGGTGAAATGGGCCTGAGTCTAAGACACAAACTTCAAATACCAGCATGGGGCTTAGCCAGGCAGCCCTAAAATTAATTCCAGGTGCTCTAGCTGTGTTGGACAAGGCCCCTGGTGGCTAAAGTTTAAGGAAAAGTACATTTTGAGATAGTGAGTGGTGGAATATAAAGTCCCATGGGGAGGGATGGTGGGGGGACTCCCGACACACAAGTAAAATCCTGTGAAGGTTCGCTTCTTGTCTCAAAAATAAGAACAATTCCCTCTCACTCACAAAGCAAACCAACTTTCTAACCAAAGAGATCAAGGATAGATCATACTCGAAGTTTGAAAGGAAAAAAGGAAGAGAAATCTACGTCCTAATAAGAAAAAAACGAAACAAAAACGTATTCCTAGTCTGTGTGGCACCCCTGCCGAAGTGCTTGGCTAGAACGGAAGGGCAGCCAGGTGGAACACCTTGGCAGAAAGGTCTGGCAATCACCTTTGTGACAAGTGACAGCTGGGAAAATCCCGCAGAGCACCATGACCCGCTGCAGCTCAAGGGGCCACCAGGGCCGTCAGAATCAGCTTGATTGTTGAGCAGCAGGCTTAGTTTGGGGCTGGTTATAGTGTTTAGATATTGTCCAATAAGAAACATGGTTCAGGGAAGATGAAACTGAGGTGACTTATCCCACACGCAGAATGCTGAGTAAGGCAGAGAGACCGTGTCATTTGTGTAGCTGTGTAGCGACGGCTGGCTCGGGCTGTCTAAATGCTGAAATCTTAAAATCTTTATTTCTAAATAACTAGTTGGTATGCTGTTAGTCATTCCATTATCACTCTCCCTGTGAGAACACCCCCGCAAAAAAAAAAAAAAAAAAGCCTCTTCCAGTCACCTTAATTAATCAGCATTTCTGATTCAGAGTTCTCATATTGGAGAGTTCACTATTTTGATCAAAGATTCCCTAGAACAAGGCGGCAGATCCAAAAGGCGAAAGTGCAGAGCGGCATTCCAAATTCTCAAGGCTTTTGGAATCACACCGGAACCCAGAAGATGCCCTGAAACCAAACAATCATTTAGCTTAACTAGTCCAGAACAAAACAAAAGGTCTTGAGCATTCTGCTTGTGTAAGACTAAACTCTCACTGCCATTGAGTCGGTTCTGACTCACAGTGACCCTTTAGAATATAGAAGTGCCCCTGTGGGTTTCTGGACCGTAATCTTTATAGGTGTAGAAAGCCTCATCTGTGGAGCAAGCGCGTCGTTTTGAACTGCTCCAAAGCGTAATCACAATGTCACCAAGGGGCCCTGAATCACACACGTAGGAACTGTTAAGTTGTATAGGTTTTGCTATGTATATTATCAA